CCGGAGCTGCCCCTGCCGGAGGGCTGGGAGAAGGCGCGCGACTTCGACGGCAAGGTCTACTACATAGACCACACGAGCCGCACCACCAGCTGGATCGACCCGCGGGACAGGTAGGACCCCGGGAGGCCCCCACACGCCCACGCGGGGCCCCTTCTGCGCCAGGGGCCACGAGCCGGGAGGAGGAAGCGGTGAGGGGGCGCTCCTGCAGCCTCTTGCGCTTTCTTCAGTCCCCCCCACCCCACCCCACCCGCCTCTGGAGCGCCGCTTCTGCCCTTGTGGGCTGCTGGGAGGAGGGGACGGTCAGTGGGTTGGCCCAGGGGCCCGGGATGCCCCCTCCGCCATCCCCAGATAGAGGACTTAGGCCCCAGCCGGCACCTGCCCAGAGTTGTGACCTTAAGCTGTAGCGTCGTCCTCCCCCCTCCCCCCGCTTTTGGAAGAGAAGTCGGGCGGCGGAGGCGGGGAGCAACCTAGCGGAGTGATGCTGGGGCTTCCCGGGGAGGCTTTCCCCAGCATGGGGTGGGGGAGGGGGCGGGGGCAGCATCTGGTTCGGAGAGGGTGGTAGGGCCTCAGGATTAACTGCTGAGGGAGACTGCTGGAGGGAGGACACGACGCGGAGGGGGAGGGAGGACACGACGCGGAGGGAAAGGGAGTCCGGAGTGTGATTTCTGACAGGTGACTGGGAGGCTCTGAGAGTACGGGAGCAGCCAGCGGGGCTGGAGGCCGGGAGTGGGAAGGAGAGGAAGGAGCAGGGGAGGGCTGGTCAGGAAGACTGGTTCTCCGGGAATCGCATAGCAGCTTGGAAGCTGTTAGGATGAGGATGGAGGTGAGAGGCCTCCGGCAAAGCGCTGCCCATCGCCGCCTCCTCCCTTTCTTCCTCTGGGGAACCTGGCTCCTCAGCACCAGCGCGTCCTGACCTTGCTGGCCACCACGCCGGCGGTAGCACGGGATTTTTTTCTTTTTTTCTTCTTTTTTTCTTTTTCTTTTTCTTTTTTCTTTCTTTCTTTCTTTTTTTTTTGCTGAGGCAGGTGGAGTCTGAGGTGGCTGGTGTGGCTCTTAGCCTCCAGACTTTCTCCTGGTTCCCACTGCTTAGGATTTCTTTGCACACACACACTCCCTCCCCACGTATGTGTTGGGGGGAGGGGAGGACCACCCTCTGGGACAGCTTCATTGTGCTTTGCTGAGGAGGTCTGTGATCAGAGTGTCTTAGGAATGAGGACTTCTCACCTGGTCACTGTGACCTTGGGCAGCAGGTACCTATACAGCAATGAAGGTGGATTTTTTGGACCCTGCATCTTGCGGGATTGGGATAGAGGCCTCAGAAGGCCAGGATGGGTGTGTAGCAAGGTGGAGGGGTAAGGAAAAGAAAAAGCAGAAAGATACGAGATTCCCAGTAGTTTCTGTGAGCACTTCAGTTGGTTCATTCAACATTTACTGGGTTACTGCATGCTCAGCACCGTGAGGAATGCCTCATTAAGGTGATCTGGAAGAGGATTGTTTAATGCTACGGCACATCCCTTGGACAAGCGCTTTAACGTCTGAACCTCAGTTTCCCCATTTGTGAGACTAGTGGTTTGCTTGGGGGGGGAAGGAATAACAGTGGGACTCCTAAAAGTTGGAAAGGATATAGAAGATCAGAACTTCCTTTTTCAAATACAGGAGAAAATTTCAGGCCCAGAGGTGTGATCTGCTCGTTCCGATCTTTCTACTACCCTGTCGTACGCCAAGTTCTTCACCAGCTCCAAAGTTCTAACTTCCAAACACGTTCCGACTCATTGTCCTTCCCCACCCTCTCAGGTCAGTTGTCCCAGGGACTCTTACTTTGTCGGTGAACTGGGCAACCCCTCGTCCTCTCTCCTAGAACAGACCAAGTTCAAGCATCTGTGTCCTCCCCCGGTTGAGGTCCCGGCAGCTCGCTGAGGCAGGTGTGCTGTCAGCAGCGGAGTGTGGGAGGGGGGCTGCCCCTCAGCTAGTGCTGCTCCCTCACTCCCTGTTGGGCATCGTGTGAAACTTTTCTGGGGCTCTGAGGGGATAGTTCATCTGTAGAAAGCTTCTCAAACAACGTCATTCTTTCCCTTTGGAAGAGGGCAAGCAGTGTAGCTGCTGTAGAAGACTGACTTGGCTACAGCATGATTTCCCAAATTTTTGTTTTCTGTGGAACCACTTTCCCTTTTTTTTTTGGCCACATCCACCTGTGCTATTGCTTACTTAATTCATGGCTTTGAATCAACTCAGTTTGAAAAACATTAACCACTTTCACAAAGTGGAAAACTAGTAATATCTATTGCCATAAATAGAAAGGATCCTTAAAACACAGTGGGAGAAAAAAACAACAACCCAGTACCATTATATTTTAGCTCGCTACTCTGGCCTGCTCACGGCCCCGGCAACGGGCCTGCGCAGCCTTTGCTTTTAGGCAGATTGGCGAGCAGCGAAGAGGAATTAAAAACATACTGGTGCTTAATGGAGCCGCTCACTTCTTCACCTTGCAAATCATTCATTGGTTTTGTACCTTCTGGTCATCTCACCTGCACTGGGCTGGTGCGGGGCCCCCGAGCTTGGGGCGCTGAGGAGTTCCGAGTGCTGGGGTGGCTGTCGTGGGAGGCCAGCTTTGGCAGTTTGGGGAAGGAGCTGAGCAGAGGGCACCTATGCGTGGCTTGGAGAAACTCTGGCACACCCTGTGTGGCCTCAGGCAAATCCCTTGAGCTCTGTGAGGTGCAGGTACTTCCTTGGTGAGAGAAGAGGGTTGATTAGATGGCCTCTAAGGATGCTGCCGGCTCTCAGGTATGATTTCAGACTTCTAGGCCTCTCCTGTCCCCTCCTGACTCCAGAATTTGGGGAGAGGGGGCTAGGCGGGAGGGTGAGGCCGGGAGGAGGAGGCAAAAATTTAACAAAGCTGAAAGGAGCCAGACTTCTTGAGGGTGATGGGGTGGGGAGATCAATTTTGCCAAGGTAGTCACATCTCTGTGACTGGTTAAAGCTGTGAAACAAAATATCACATAAAAAAAAAATTCTGTGTGTGTGGGTGTGTGCGCGCGCGCACGTATGCATTTGTCTTGGCTTTTCCCTAACTTGAATCGAAGAGATGCCTGCCCATTCCCCTGAATTTAAAAGAAGTAAGTTAAATGGTCCTTCAGTCAAAAAAAAAGTGATTTCTTAGCCACCGAGAATAAAATAGCGTCTCGGGTTACCAACCCTGAAGAATGTCTTGGCACACTCCTCCATCTGGGGCTGAGCTGTTTTGTGTGCCGTCCGGCCTGGAGGCTGCTGGGGGTAGGGAATCCAGCTTGCAGCTTTCCCTTCCACCAGGGGGTCGGAAGA